AGTAGCAAAATGTTTAATATCAAATGTAAGCGAAAAATGATACACTATACGAAGCGAACCCCATTTTTCGCGGACTTTTTGAAATCACGGCGAAGTATACTTTACCAAGTAGCTTTTATCTGCCAAGTCCAACACAGTTTGCATTCTACTAATCTAAGTTTGGTCAACAAGAACCCATAAAAACATTTTGCGCTTTTGAGCTATATTCTGTACAGCAGCCACGTAGTTTTCGTGTTTTTCACTAACTTGCCATTACAATATGCAAATTGGGTATCAAAAATAAATCATGAAACCTCTTTATTTAATTAAATATGAATGCATTAACATTTATTACACTGTATTTAAGCATTTTTGTTTTACTTTAAACCACTCTGAGTTGAAAAAATCGGCATTTTTTTCAATCTTCCGTCTGTGACTAGACGGGATGTTTTGATGCACATATAAATTTGTTGAAGCGCTTTCGCCGTGTCCGTGGAATAGTTTGATTAAAACGTTTTGCCCATTTTCTGATTGATTAGTAATAACATACAAATTTTCGAATTTTTTTTACTTTACTAAAGTCGAATAACAAAGTAAAAACATGGTAGGAAAACTTATTTCTGCAAACGGCAGAAAAGATCACATGACCTGCTTTTTTGGGTGTTTACCGTAAACAGTTTCAACGCGAGAGTGGGTTATTTTGAGGTTGCCATAATCGTGAAAAGTCTCTCTTTCAAAAACTTCCCTGTTTACAAACCGCCTCTCCCCTCCCCTGCTGCCGAACATCGTTAGCCCCAAAATGACCTCTACATTAGAGAAATTAGATGACTATTCAAAATATCTTAGAATATCAATTCATTATAAGTGCATTATATTACCGATTACAATCTTATTGAATTCCTTCCTCACTACCGTAAGCTGTTCAAGTTTTAAACAAATAAGGAAATAAGGAAATTGACAAACAAAAACTCTGCCCTCCAGTCCCCCCCTCAGTTTTGGAGGTATATCTAAGAGTATGTTACTCATGATTTATTAGTAGGTCTTTTGATTCTGTGGAGTGCAGATCTGATCTAARACCTCAACGAAGTCTTGGTAAAACAATCTCAGTGCAAAATTATTTTTGAATGTAGCATATTTAGATTACAATGTCACCAGCAAAAGCACCAGGAATACTTTTTACCATCATTGAATTTTATTGAATCAGGTTTTATATTTCACTGACTCGTTATTGTCCAGTTAAAACTAATGTATACTCTTGAAAGACTTTTCGATCACGAAGCCGAACTCCGAATTGAAATTGTTCTCCCTATAGCACACATCTTATCCTCCTTTTTTTCTACGAACAGCAGCTGACGATGAATCTGTTTAAACTTGCTCTCGTTGTTGGTCTTGTGGTTGCACTTCTTGTCCCTAGCTACTGATGGATGGGGCTGGAGAAGGAGAAGGAGGCGAATTTGGAGGAGACCAATTAGGTGCACGAGAAAATGTATCAAAATTGGATGCCGTACCGAATGTCCCGTGGCAAATCTCAATAGAGCAGACTGCAGACTTCGAAAGCTTCTTAGAATAGTATGCGATAAGCGATGCTTTCGTGTATGCTTCGGGAAGCGAGATGAAAACACAAAGGTATGAATCACTTAATAAAGTCCATATTTGAGTTTAATTTTGTATATAGCTGTTTCAAAAAAAGGTTGTCGGATAAAATGGCGAATGTCAATGGTCGAACGGCGATTGCACGACCAAAAGTGTTTGGTACTTGAGCTTAGTTGAAAGGCAATAACAACTGATTTGTACTATACGTAAGATGGTCTGTGGTAAACAATGGCTCCATTTAGTCTTCATATCTATGTAAGTCGAATCCAATAAGTGATATTNNNTCGAGCAGTTTAAACCCCATAAACGAGGTCAAAAGCGAATATTTCATATTGCTTATCAAATTTTAAAATACTTTTAAGAGGGGCTAACATTTTAGATTAACAAAAATTAACGTAAATCTTATAAAAAAGAATCAGCGTTTTTTCATGAAACAAACGCCTACAGAAGTACATARCCATTCTGACTCCTAGGGTTGGAGAAACGGGAACTAGCATTAATCTGWCTAGAGTAATAAAGAGAGAAGAATTTACATCGAGAAGTTATTTATCCCTTCTWATGTTCCCTCAAATGCATTTACTTTATTTTCCAACAGGAAGCCCTCGCCCAGCCCGCAGTGACAAGGAAACATCAGTATAAAGATGGAGCTAAATAATGGCAGCATTGCAAGCACTTGTAGTAATTTTGACAATCGATCTAATTTAAAGATTAAGACAATTAAAATTGTACGGGTTGGTGAAGAATATTGGTAATGGGATTAAATGAAATAGAAATTATTTGGAGTGGAACTGACTTAGCGTTAACTTAGAGAAAAAGAAGTMGAAAACAATACATTTGTCATGCATAGAACTGTTGCGCGCCACTGAATGATAACAGTTTAACATTTTTATAGCTGGTAAAGTTGATTTGCTATATAAAACAAAGATGAATTCATGTATAAGATGTATAATTTAACATACATGTATACTATTGTGAAGCTCATATCACGAAACCTGCTCAACCTGATATACATAATATTTCTTGCCTCCCTCTCTCTCCTTCAAAACACTGTTCGATTATCCATGCTCTTCAAACAACTTAAAGCATTCAAGACTCTTCTACTAGAGCAAACGCAGGAAAACCATGAAAAAAAGTCAAACTAAATACTAACAAATAGCGGTTATTTAGAGACAAATTGTCAGTATCAATGAACCAGAACACAATAAAGATGAATGAAAAATAGTCCCATGTGAATTCATCTTCATTGCGTTCTGGTTCTTTGATACTGACAAATTGCCTCTCAATAGCCCACCGCTATTTGTTAGTATTTATTTTGATTATATTTCATGGTTTTCCTGCGTTTGCTCTATGATATGTGAAAAAACCCTAAAATCTTCAGCTGACATATGCACGAGAGGGAAGTAYAGTACTGAAAACCGTTACATTATCTAGGTCTAGCATAGTGATAAGAAATTGAAAACTAGTTACGATGATCAGGTCCTACACGCGCTGACGCTGGCGACATGATTGGCTGTGATGATCGTCGAACGATATCATCTAGTAAATTTGCCCATTCCAAGCTCCAAGCTGGACGGCTAGTCACACGCGAGTCGCGTATTTTCGCGTTATCGGACTATTAATAGCGTTCAGTATCAATCGATAACACGCAAGATACTTTTTAAACGAACGACGAAAAAGAAAGACAAAAGAATCATCAGACCTGAACATTGAGAGAGAAAATAAACAATCGTTGTTACCTTTCTAATTGATGTTTTACAAACTTCGCAAACTGATATGCTTCGCTTTTCCAGCCATGGCGTCRCGCATACTTCATTTCTAGTCACTAAGCTATACAGTTTTCTCTGAGTATAAAACGCGCGTTGCTTGGATGAAATAATCCGGATCCAATTCGCGCTTGTGACATCATAAAAGGTGGATGACGTTTTTGGTGACGTAAATTATAACACCACAGGAAGACCGCGCGATAAACGATTTTCGGTAGGCTTGTTATCGCTGGATGTTCTCGAGTAAAAAATTATTTCACTAAGATCTCCAATTATTATTATTATTATTTCACTCCGATACGTTTTTTGCTTCTTTAGAAACACCAGAGCAGCTCCACCACTAAGAAGATCCAAGTACGCGAAAGAAATCAAACCAAGAAATCAATGAAGAGTGAAGTCACTAGACCCGTGAACACAGATTTGACTATAAAAGTGTGGTACTCAAATAGACACAAAAGGCAATAATGCAATAGACTTTTTGGTCGGGACTAGCCCTTCGATCAGTAAAAATAGCTAGTCCGACTTCACGCTCCAGGAGCGTCTAGTTTGTGGTTAAAACCAATGCGATCAACAGACCTCAAATAAACAATAACACCAAGTCATGTCAAAATTATGTGTTTGTTTTTGTTTTTTTGTTTTTTTTACAACAAAAATTAATTTCTTGATATTGCAAGAAGATAAAGAAACGCAAAAAGGACAATTTGTTAGCGATTTTTGGRCTGTTGACTGATTCTGCCTCGCTTTGGTGCAAAACCACAGGCCCATTGCGTAACTTTCTAACCGCAAAATAACTGACTTACAATGACAATTTATGAAAAACTTTATTGCTCTTTAAGTTTTAAAATCTAATTAGTAAATGTCCTACATGACTTAACAACTTCACTTTTATGTTATGTTATGTTCGTTCTGCTCTATGCACGTTCACGTGAATAGCCAAYAGCCAATTAAATTACAAATTGAAACAGGATTAGCTTGCAAATGCAACGTTTTCCGTGGATATAAAGAAAAGGTCATGTCTCATACTGTGGCATTTCTCTTCAGCGTTAGAATACAAAACTATACTCTGTTGTATTTTGAATCTGATGGGTTATTGAGTTTAACAARTACATATCACGTGATCATGGATAGAGCAGACTGATTACATCACACGCGGTTTAATCTAATAAGAGCATCTGGGAGTACAACACACCAGGAATCTGTGGCCAATGCAGTAGTGTGGAGTGTCAAAAGGGCAGTCAACGACTCTACGCGCATAGTTTTTTGTACATCTCACATGATACATGCATGGACCAAACTTGACTCCAACACTGCACGTGTACTCCCATCTATAGCGGGGGCAACGTGGAAGTATTGGACTGCAGTGTACTAGTGGTAGCAGACGTCTTACGGCGCGTTTTGCTCTCACTATATAACAAAAGAATAATAAAAACCGTTAAGACTGCAAATAGGTGTTGCTACAACTTTAACTGATTTATATCGCGCTTCAAGTAAATAAACATCCTTCTAACGGTGTTGCAGAGAAATGTTCAAACGCGGTCTTTGTCTTGAGCAAGAGATTTGCAAGAGGTCATATACGTCCCATTTCAGGGAGCATGCCCATGATCCCTTGCGTCACGCGCTGGCAAGTTCTGCACAAAACAACGACGACAGCAGCTTGTTCGCAACCCCGCGTTTAATACACGTGTTTCTGGAAAAAAATTCACTGTGTATAAGCAGAGATGATTTCGCAGCTTTTTTGTTGCATGTGGCGTTACACGAAATAGAACTCAGGTCAGCGGCAACTCGCAACGTCATTGCGTAGTATATCACCCCTCCAGCAACATTTCATGCAATTTTCGAGTACGCAGTTAGAACATGCCTAATTTCTAATTTCAACTGTCCAATATCTTGATTCTAGCTCCCAGCTTACGTTGTTATGTGTAATTTTATGTGCAATATTTTTCAGTAGTTTCAAGGTGTAGGGAAAGCTGCTAATAAGACCTGTCAGCGACGCCATTTGCTACAACACTACTACATGCATTGGCTGAGTATGATAAGATGTAGTTCTCAAAAGGAAAAAATGATTTGCATGCGTCATTAAAAAAAAACAACAACAACATGTCGTCTAAGTCTAGCATCTAAACAGTTTACGGACCTTTCTCATTCCCATTTGATATATTGACTCGAAAGTCTTTGAAGAAGTCATCCTTTCCAATTGCATCCTGCGGTGGCTTCGTAGTGGCGTGCACCTGTGGATTTAAACAATCAATAATTGATCGATATATGATACTAGTATTGTTACAATCATTATGAGATGAAAGCCTTGAATGCGGAATCAATAGGACAGACAGACAGACAGCTGTACAACAACGTAGTATTAATGAATTAAAACATTATTGAATGCATATTGAAAACACACGTCACCGTTAACGATTAAAGTAAAGGGATGCAGCTCAACCGTTTTAAAATGGTACAGCCCTACCCCTCTATAGAAGAAAAAAAGAGATGAACAGCTCTGTATACAAGTCGCCGTGCATGCGCAACAGGGGCGGATCCAGGATATTCCTCAGGGAGGGGTGCGGGTCTCTCAGGAGGGGGTGCACCCCACAAAAATCATTACCATGAAGATGCAAATTAATAAGGAAAGTATTGAAGGATGCAAATCTCAGAAGGTGGGGTGCGCACCCCCTGCACCCACCAGCTGGATCCGCCACTGCGCAAAGAGCAAGAAAAGCACGAAGTCACCGCTATCATCATTACAGTCACAATTCCTATGTGTTCTGGCGGTTTCCTTATCTTGCATGCATCACTCGAGGGGTTTTTCGGTTAAGAACATTGATTTTTTCCATTAATTCCCTAGCAAATCCTTTTGATTTTAACATTATTGATTCGGATGGAAGAGCTACACAAAACTTTTATTCTCACCTCATTGGCTGGAGCAGCTCCAAGCTGACTAGAGACGAACGAAAATAAACACTGCGTAGGAACAGACGTAGTTTGAATCAGAATTCATTGTACCATGTACACAAGCACATCCAAGTAGTAAATTCGTGCTACTAATCTAGTTGTAACTTACCATTTTCACTATCGCGTTGGGTTTGAAGATGCTTTTATTTCGGGTTGAGTTCTGGATAACTTGAAACTCCACTCAGGGAATGAGGTTTGGGGTAAAAAGGCTGCTTTTTATACCATGTTCATGGGCGGGGTCGTGTTCCTTACTCGTAACCTATTTTCCATCACTGATTCAGTTTTACAGGATGTACTAAAACTAGAAAACCTGTTT